AAAAAAAAAAAAAAAAAAAAAAAAAAAAAAAAGGGGATGTAGTAGCCACCCATTTGGGCCAAGGGAGAGTGTTAAGGTGGAAACCAGGATGGGACTGCCTTTTATACTATGTACTTCAAAGACCTCATTGAGCAAGTCCTTATGGACTTCCTGGAAGAGGAAGGTGCTTATTGTTTTTCCTTTTTACTTTATAGAAGGGGTAATTCTGAGGTTGTGCAAGTCCAGTTAAGGCTTACTCGGTCACAGCTGCACTCTTTCAGAAGCAATGTGTTAGATTTATGGTGTGTGTGTGTTGTGTGTTGTGTGTTGTTTAGATCCTCCAGAATCAGCAACATTATTTTAAAATATGAGCCATAGATTTGTGGGAAAGAGAATTAGATGGGAATAAAAGCCTTCTCAGGTTTGTAGGGTAAACTGTAATTTCCTTGACAACTCATGTCTGTTGCACAACACTTTTTACTTCTATTGAATTTAGTCCTGTTGTACTGTGGGGTAAGGCCTGTTCATAAGACACAGGGGCCAGGATGTGTATATATAAAGTGACCTCAATCCTGGTACCTTTTGAGTGTTTCACTTTGCAGCATTGCTCTTAAATGCACTCAAAAGAAGTATGCTTCATGGTTAATGTGGCTGCTTTAACTTTGGCTATCAAGATCTTTAGTAAGGAGGTATTTGAGCAATTTGAGTTTAAAAAAAAAAAGAAAGGAAAAAAAAGTTTCATTAACAGTTAATAGGGGTTTTTTTTTTTGTTTTTTTTAAAAAAGGCCTTCCAACTCCCTATTGTGTATCTGAACTTGTTTGTTAGGGAAGTACACGTCATTCTGGGTTGGAAATCTTTTAGTTTTCTAGGTTAGTATTTAAGGTATTCATTTACTGGACAAATGAATAAATGAATCCTAGCTTCTATGCTGTTGTGAACTTTGGCATGGCAATGCTGTGGAGTAATTGCAAGTGAAGAGAGAACTAATTTCTGAGGAAAATGAAAAATAAAGATTAGATATAATATAGGCATACCTTCCCACTATATCTAATATAGAATGTTAACACCCATCTAGGCCATAAGCAGTGAAACCTGTTAACACATATATATTTATGAATATTGGTATCTGACAGAAAAGTACTGATAGCTTTGAGGAAAAAGATGATGAAAATATGAGGCGCAAGTCTGATCCAAACCACTGAAGTTAGTCTTTCTGTTGACTTCATTGGGCTTTGTAATATGGTATATGCCTTGAAGTTTCTCTTGTTGCTGCAGAAGAAGCATGTTTTAAATATCCAGATAGAAACAAAGGTAAAAGATAATCCCCACTGGCAATTCAAACCCATTTGAATCTTCCTTTAAATACAGTTTGCAGTAATGTACTGTTATGGATTTTTTTTTATTCATTTGCATCCAGTTTTGCTTGATAAATAACTTAGCCTTGAAAAAGCTTTAAAATAATGCTAGCATTTTCTGATGCTAATAGAAAATATCTATTCTTGATTTTGATTGCTAATGTAATTACTTTAGAATAAAGAGAGGGATATTTTGACTATATAGTAGTATTGAAACAGGAAGCCAATCTGAAATGTCAACTGAGTTCAGTATGAGAGCCAGTCATTTCCTGACAGATGAAACCATTTCTCAGAAAACACATTGTTAGGGGGAAGACAACATTTTGGACTACAATTCTTAATTGATGTCTCTAATGAAAACTATAAAAAAAAAAAAAAAAAAAAATCTCGGAGTATTCTTCAGTTCTCCTTTAGAGTTAAAGGGCTAGGTTATAATGGGACTTGACTCTCTTGTCTCTGACTGGAAGCACTTTTACAAGTCTTAAGTGTTAGTGGTCAGAGTAGGATGATGGGATGCCAAAAATAGGCATCTTGACTTCAACCTACCCTCATTATAAAAAGCTGAGAAGTGGATTCCTATGGCCATATGTTGTAATGTTATATGTAAATGTTTTCTTTCTTTCTCTTTTTCTGTCTTTCTTTTAAATTTGGTAGTTTACACTATAAGCACTATGGGAATAAGCTAAGAAAGATGTTTCAAAAAGGTGTGATATTTGCCAGGATATAGAAAATAAATTTTAGTATTGGGTTGTGTGGCTTCTCCTCCCCTTCCCTTAGAAATGCTAAGCACTTACACATTCCTCTGAAGTTAATGGGGGAGTTGCTGGTTTTCAGCATATTGTCATAAAATGGTATGGTATAAGCAGGATCCTGTGCACTGCTTATTCTTCAGTTGTGGTTCCTCCATTTGGGCCATAAGTCCTTCCTTCTCTTAAGACATCTCTAAAACTGTTGTTGGCAGTATATTGGAACTGAGTAGCTTTGGTCTCTTTCAGCTAATCATTTAGACTTTACTCTTGGAGGAGTAGCGGACTAGCTCTCAAATGGGTATCAGAGAGGTAGCTGGGATGGATCAGTGTTTTCTAGGTATTTCTTTATATTTTTCTCTAATCCAGAAAGCAGCACTTTACTCTCCTTGATCCTAATAGTGCCATTTTTGGTAAGCAAGAAGCATGCTGGCTAAACTTTTAGATAAAGTCGTTAAAAGTTATACAGTGGTTTCACTTCTGGAAAAACTCTTTTCAAATGGATCTCCTTTTTGTTAACCAGCTGTAAGAATGCCATAATACTAGGTGTTAGATCTTCTCCACTTCAGTCTATGCTAGAAGCAAATCATTTTATGTAATAGGGAGAGAGACTGACCATTGAAGACAATGGCATTTTTATCATTGATTTCAGTGGGTCAGGATTTTGTCCAGAGTGGGTAACAGAAGAGGTTGTTAATTTCAGTTGTGGTTGGTCTGGGTATGCATGCCTTCTTACTCAGAGGAGCCAGAATGAGAAGTGTGGTGTTTTTTTTGTTTTGTTTTGTTTTGTTTTGTTTTTGTTTTGTTTGAGTTTTTTTTATTGTTTCTACTTCCTGTTCAGACTGCATACTTTGGAAGAGAGAGATTCTAACATTAATTTTCCTGTCTAACTGTTGCTGTAACTATAGATTTATCTTGTTGTATAATGGATGTAGAGTTGATTAAAACTGAGTTTAATTTTAAGTTTTCATTTTTACCATTGATATAATCTATTTAAGGTAAAAAATCTATAATAACTGGAAATGATTTACAAACTGGAGAGAGAGTTATCACTAATTCATTGTGAAAAATGGGCTTGTTCTATTGATTTTCAACAAAGCAAGCCAGAACTTGAATGAGATTTCTAGGTCATAGTGTCCTCCAGGAACTGTCCTCTTTAGGAGGGGCAATTATATGAAAAAAAAAAAAAAAACAAAAAAAAAACCCCTCTATTCCTATTTTTGCATTTATCTGCTAAGTTACTGGACATCATAGTCTCAGGATTATACTTCATCTTGGGGGAGGGAGTACCAAGATTCTTTTTATCACATTCTAAAAAAAAGCATTGCGCAGTTTTTGTGTTTTTTAAATGATTTGCTTTTTAAAAAAGAAATAACAGCTAATGTGGAAACCTTGCAATGTGCATATTATAACATAAAACCTCTTTGGGGTCTTGCTGGTTATCTCCTATTTAAAATAATACAGCTGCTGTGGGGTGATTAAACTGTTAACAGCGCTCGCTGATGTCATCTTTCCGAGAACACTAGTACTGGTATGTGTGATTTACTATAACAAGATCTTAAGTTTTTCCTGTTGGCAAATGACATGTAATATTTACAAAGGTTTTGGTTTTTGTCCAGCAGAAACATTTCAGATAAAATGATACATGAAAGGAAACCTTATTAACACTTTCATGTCAAGGCAAGTTACTGTAAGGAGTTATTTACTTTATAAAAGCAAATGTATTCAGTACATATTTTTCTTAAAAGCTCTTGTATATAGTATCTTAACACAAGCGTTTGCAGTTTTTAAAAACAGAAACCTACTCTGGTTATGCTTTTGTCATAATATAGAAATACCAATGCTGTTTTAGATTTTTTTTTTTTTGCAGCTTTCACAAAGCTAAAAGCAGACAAACAAAAATCACCTCAATCTTCAATGCATCCGTTTCCTGCAGTATTCCCTAAAGAGCCTGCAGATAAAGGGGAGCTGGAGAATGACCCCAAAGTTCTCTTTCCTTGTATTAAAAAGTAAAATACTCTTATTTAAGGGCCACCAAATTGCCTTACATTTAGCAAAATGGGGTCTGTTGCGACCTTGACATGGCCCCTTGTGTATTTGGTAGAGGGAAGTAATCTCTCTTGAATTAAGATTGCAACCTTTTTAAAACTGAACCAGACCCTGTTTTTACCATTCTTAAGATTGGCTTTAAAATTGTCCTGTTAACTCTGAAGAGACAGAGACTGTAAAATTCCTTTTAGTGAAAAAACCAGATGGAGTTACAGTATTCTGGAAACAAAAAACCCAACTGATTTTTAAGGCTTCATTTTAGTTTGCTTCTTTGTTTGTTTTCAGCTCTGAAGTAGTGTACTACTCCTCATCTCCTCATTTTCATTGCTCTTAAAACTTAAGCAGTGAATTACAAAATTGATCTAAGTTTTGTATGAACACTTAAAATGATTCAAAACAAAGTTGCACAGGTCAGCTAAATCAGTTTAACATCATATTTTTTTTAAACCATTATGAAACCTTTCTTGACCGAGAAACCTGAAACTTAGTGTTATGATAATATTTTTTTTTAAGCATAAAATTAAGTGGTATAGGATTGAATGCTGCAGTTGGATTCTTGTAGGAAAATATCATATTTTGGAAACTTCTTTTTACAACATTGACAGGAAAAATTACAGCTCTTGATAGAAATGGTTCAGAGGGTTGACATGCTGGAGGTATTTTTTTGATGGAATGTGTCAGGGCAGCAAAGCAGGTACTGTTGTCAAAGTGACATGTGAGAACCTGTGGAATTTTATTTATGAAGCTAACACATGTACCACCTTTTTATGTTTGTGTGCAACACAAAGTTAGAGGCAGTTGTTCAGCTAACTACAAAGAATTTCACAACAGTAGATATATTTTAATTTTATATCTATTTCATTTTTTTAGATGATCATAGTCGCGTAAAACTGCTGAACACAGAGAATGACTATATAAATGCCAGCTTAGTAGTAATAGAAGAAGCTCAAAGAAACTATATTTTAACCCAGGTAAGTTACAAGGAGCTTTCTTTCTTTGTTCTCACTGAAGGTAGAACATTAACAACTTAGATGCAGTAGTGACACAGCACTGATTAGCAAATCTGAATTTTTTCCCCGTAATCCCAGGATCAGGTTTTCCCTGCATGAGCAAGTTCCTGCAACTGGGAGCCCCATGAATCCAGTTGAGAGGCTCCTCCTCGTGGTGGTTCCACACACAACCCCAGGGCTGAAGGATTGCTGCAGGCATGATTCTTGCAACCCTCCCCCCCACACGCACACACAACCCTTGCTCCAGGCATGCAAGGAAACCCCTGGGGACTGGGGCTATTGGGATTTTTATCCTGGCCATGGTATCCCCTTGTGGCTGAGCCCCATCAGGCTGATGGGGATGCCCACTTCAGGGGATACTTTACTACATGTGAAAATTAAAGCTTGATAGCAACCAGCTATTAAACATTTTCAGGGTCTAACTTTATAGCTGGTTGGAGCTTTTATGCGATAGGTAGTCTGCATGTTTAGCTGATCTCCAGATAATAGTGCAATTGACCAGTTAATTGTGCAGTACCTGTAATGTGTAGAGGGGACCTAATATTAAAACAAAGCTTGAAACTTAATATTGATCTCTAAGTAATATTGAATTTTCCTTCTCTTTAACCATTTGGACTTTTGACCGGGTACATAATTTAATTTCTTCTTCTTTTTTTTTTAAATCCAGAAATGTAAGGTAAGAGGCCTTGAAAAAATTGACAGGTACAGAACAGGAGGGTAGGAAAGTCCAACTATTGGAGGTCTGAAACAAATGTCCTGGTAAGATGCTCAGACTCCCTTGCCATCCCAGCAGCTGGTAGACAGAGGATTTCCTCTTTCACAATGACTTCAGGCTAGTAGCCATCTTATTCCTTTGAAACTTCAGCTGCTCTAAATGTTGGCATGGAGGAGACATTTTTGCATCTCAGCCCTGCAGAAAAGCTTGGTTGCTGTGAGAAGACTGTTCTCAGTGCTTCATCTTATTCTATTTTGAGGGCATCCTCTGCATATCATTTCACTATGTATTCTTCCTATTGCTCTACTTAGCTAAGAAGGAGCAGCGTGAAATCAGAGCAACATAACTGTTGCCAGAGCTATAACAGCACTATAAAACTCATGCGAGTCTTGTAAATTTCTTACATCATGTTTGCTAACTAGTACTTGCAGCAATAGAGCATCTGGAACTTGACTGAACTCTCAGGAAAATCAGTAGTGCATCTGTGTACTTTGGCATTATATTGGAAGGCTTCTTTGCAATGAACAAAAATATTTGGAAAAATGTAAAAAAAAAATATAAATTCTGCAAAATTTAAGAAAGAAAATCCTAATTTCCAGTCACTGTTCTAGGGCACTGTGCTAATCATTTGAATCTTAATTCATTTAAAACATTTATTTGCCTAGAAATAGGGGAACTGAAAATGGCCACTCCTTTAAAGTAAGGTTTGTTTAACATCCCTTTACTTACTAGCTTCCACCTAGTGTAACTTTTTAAATATGGATTAGGCTTTCTTAAAAAAAAGGCACAATGAATGGATGCATACTGAGGTCTCATTCACTTGTGCTCAATAAAACAAAGCTTAATATACAAAATCCAGAGACTTTTAAATCTTTATGATACTGAACCACTTGGAGATTGTCAGATTTTTGAATGATCAAAGCCATGGCTCTATAAGATGAACTGTTGCAACTAAAACGAACCCCTTAAGTTTTGAGAGACAATTTTAAAAGCTAATACCAGATCTGCTGGGATGCATCATATTGTGCCGCTAGTTGTTTGAAAATAGAATTTTCTGCCATTTACATCTTCCCATATTGTATTCCGTTAATTACACTGTAGCCCTTTTTGGTTATAGTATCTCAGTATACATTAACTTTTAAACTGGTTTTGTAATTTGTAGATTCATAGAAGTAGGGTTGGAAGGGACCTTGTAGATCAACAAGTCTGACCCCCTGTCCTGGGCAGGAGAGAAAACCGGGCTCAAATGACCCCAGCGAGGTAGACTTCAAGCCTCCTCTTAAAGACCCCTGGGGTAGGAGCCATCACCACTTCCCTTGGAAGTTGGTTCCAGATCCTAGCCACCGTAACTGTGAAGTAGTGCCTTCAGATGTCTAGTCTAAACCTACTCTCTAACAATTTGTGGCCGTTATTCCTTGTTACCCCAGAGGGCGCTAGGGGGAACAGGGCCTCTCCCAAATCCTGCTGGTCCCCCCCTAGTGAGTTTATAAATGGCCACCAGGTCCCCCCTCAGCCTTTTCTTGTGAAGGCTGAACAAGTTAAGGTTAAGGTCCCGTAGCCTCTCTTCGTAGGGTCTGCCCTGCTGTTCCTGGATCATGCAGGTAGCTCTCCTCTGGGCCCTCTCAATGCTGTCCACATCCCTCCTGAAGTGCTGTGCCCAAAACTGAATGCAGTACTCCAGCTGTGGCCTGACCAGTGTCGCATAGAGGGGGAGGATCACCTCCTTGGCTCTGCTTGAGATGCACCTCTGGATGCACGATAAGGTCCAGTTAGCCCTGCCAACCGTGACCTCGCATTGTCGGCCCATGTTCATCTTGGAGTCAGTAATGACTCCAAGATCTCTTTCTGCCACCATACTCTCAAGAAGGGAGTTTACCAGCTTATAAGTGTGCTGCTGGTTCCTGCTGCCCAAGTGCAGCACCCTGCACTTGTCTGTATTGAAACCCATCCTATTTTTGTTAGCCCACCCCTGTTACCTGTCCAGGTCCTACTGTAATCTGTCCTTCCCTACTAGTGTGCCCATCTTGCCCCAAATCTTGGTATCATCAAAAAATTTAAACAGGCTGCTTTTTACCCTGTTGTCCAAGTGACTGATAAAGGAATTGAACAGCTTCATTGTTATTGTCATCATGACTCTCTTGAAGTACATTTTGTGGTAGGCTAGCTGAAAGGAAAAAATCTATTAGGTACTCCCAAGTATACAAACACTGGATGTTGATATTTTACATGAATAGCATTTTTGCTGTTTCTTCTTTAATCTTATGTCTTACAAGACTGTCGAATAAGAACTTAATTGACTCTTGATCATTTTCCCTGCCTTTTTTCTTTATTGCCCAGGGTCCACTTCCTAATACTTGTTGTCATTTTTGGCTAATGGTATGGCAACAAAAGACCAAAGCAGTTGTCATGCTAAACAGAATTGTTGAAAAAGATTCGGTAAGTAATATTAGCTACTTACTACAATTTATATGTAGACTGCCTAATTTTAACCTTGTCAAACCACATATAATTAGGATGTTATAACTGCTTTTGCCAGTAATCAGAATGTCCTGATACAAAGACCTGATGCATTCTTGCCTCTGGCATACACTCTAGTTGACAGTAGCTTAAATAATTTAGAAAAGCTCATCTTGTAAAGTGTATTGTCACACTTGAATATTCATGACAACAGGAGTATTTCAGTAGTTTTTTAAAAGTGGGAGGAAAATGAGGTGACTTTGTTTGAAAAGTTAGGGGGCAGAAGACAATTTACAGACTTTCTTCCAGTTGAATATTAATAATGTTTAGAGATTTACCAAATGAGAACTATGGAACTAAAGTTTGGCTCAGCGGGCACAGTGTTCTGCAAGTAGTACATATCCAGAAAGATGAAAGAAACATTCTGACAAAAAGGAGTGTGAAACCAGAACTAAGAGAGGAGGTGTTAAAGGTTAGAGGTGTTCCAAGATGAAACATAGAAGGTAGAAAATTACTTTCAGTTTAGTTGTGTTTAGATAACTTTTGGTATTTTTTCAAAATCTAACAATAGAACTGTTTTCTTTGTTAATAATTTAAGTAGACGGGTGCTGACAGTGAAACATTGACTTTATGCTACTAGCCATAGGCAAATTAGTCTGTTTTCACTTCCTTACATCAGTGAATGTTTAGAGTACCTAAATCACTTGATGCGTGGCCTTTTGCCAGCATACTCACTCCATTGGATGCACACAGATATTTTAGATGTGATTTGTAAGCTATTACAATAAAGGTCACTTGTTCAGAAGAGAAATCTGATAATTCAAAAACAGAAAGTTTTGATGTACTGGAGTTTGTCAGCCCAGGTTTGCATTCTTTGTATGAAATTCCGTTGACTTCCAGGAACAAACCCTATTGTCTGTGAAGTGAGTGAGCACTGAAGATTCTTATAAACTGTATTTGGATTTAAAAGCCTTGAGGTTAAGACAACACAACAGATGGAGAAATGTAAATAGAAAGTAATGCTCCGTGGCAAAGAATAATAGTAATCTTTTCATGTGCTGTGTGATTGCTGAACTCAAGGATTTTCAGAGGAGGAAAGTGTTGGGATAACTCGTTAAAGATGGGTGTCCATTCTAAAGAAGCAGTAGAAACAAATGCATCTTGAGATGCAACCAGGGACTATAATAGAACTGAAGAAAGGACAAGAAAATGTGGGGTGGGGGGAACAAAACTAGAGAGTATACAAGTATTTGCAATGACAAGTTTGTAAAAACAAGGATTTGTAACCAAGAATCAAAATGATCAAGGGTCTAGTTAAAAACTTTTCTCTATAGTGTGCATGGTAAGTCTGTACAGCCTCTTGGGGAACTCCCAGAATGTAATGAGGAATTGGATATGTACAGGATATAGCTATATATAAGGGAAAATAATATTTCATTAAAGTGTTTAGTTACCTTGTGGAATTCATTGTCCTTGGGACCATGCTGTGGTTGTATTTTAAAAAACTGTGGATAATTTTAACTATCTCATCATGTAGCTTAAGTATTCACAAAGGAAGAATACCCTTCAGAGTATAGCCTTGCAGTAATCAGAAACTTCATCTCTACGCCAGATAACCTGTTGTCTACTTGAGACTGTTTTAAAACATTGTGTATTGACTGCTGTCCAACAGCAGGTTGAGGAAACTAGTAAATAAATAGAATCTTTGAACTTGTCTAATGATGCAGTAGAAAATTTTGTAATTGCTGAGGATACAAGCATAAAGTTAGACTGGTTTATGAACTAGAAAGAACTTTTCTAGTGGTTGGAGAAAAATGGGAAAGATAAGAAAATAAGGGCTTGATTCTAGTCTGCCACCCCCCTTTGCAATTGAATAGTTAATTGTGCAGAGTAGGTGTAAAACATTTGCTGATTCAGAATGGTAGCAAATAATGTTCTTTGCATTGATATAGATCACTGTCGTGTGCTCAGTAGCTGAGAATTGAGTCCCAAATACGATGTTTATACAGTTATCAACTCTGGAAAGTTGTTTGAGGTTTTTCATTTATACTTGCACTTATATATTTTTCCTAATGTGTTGAAATGAGAATAAAGTTTTCAGTGGTATGTTGCAACTACATGAATATTAGCTAAAGACAGATTATGTAGGCCTCATACAAAAAACCTTTAGTTAATGATCTTTAAGCTTAAAATATGTTAAATCTGTGTTAAAACAAAAGAGATTTCCCAGTAGGTTGTTTGTGGTCTGGCACATTTCATTTTTGTCGCTTATCTCAGTGAGCACCTGCTTACATATTTCATTCTATAACCTAGGTAAAATGTGCACAGTACTGGCCAACAAAAGAAGAGGAAGTCATGATGTTCAAGGAAACAGGATTTTGTGTGAGACTAGTATCTGAAGACATCAAATCCTATTACACCGTACATCTACTTCAATTAGAAAATATCAGTGTAAGCTTTTTCTCCATACATGTGCACTGAATATTCATAGGACTAAATATGTGATGTAGAATGTATTTTAAAAATCTCTTACGAACTTGCACTTCCTAGTTTTACTATTACATTAAAAGTCAGATAAATTTTGTAATTATTATGTATACTGAATGAACACGGCATACAAATGTCCAGGTAAGTGTGCGTGTAATTAACTGGATTTTTGATGCAGAATGTGGAGAGTCAGGCAAGGGCTCCATTTACCCGGTAGAGCTACTTGCAGCCTCCCTGCTGTGAACAGCCTGGGCTCTGTGGTAGGTGGCAGGGGCTGGCCCAGAGCCAGGGCCAGTTGTGCCAGGTGGCCAGGAAGCTGCAAGCGACTGCATCAGGTACACGGAGCCCTGGCCTGGCTTGTCAGCAGTGGGTACACATGTGCTTCAGGGCAGATGGTGGGGAAGGGGCTGGGGTGTGGTGCCACAAGAAGTATTGGGCCCCTACTGCTTCCCCACCCTAATCCCGAAGGTGTGCATGCACACCCACCATTGGCAACGAGCTGGGTCGGAGTTCCA